TCTTCTTCAAGAATGAAGGACAAACAACAACTTTTTCACTCATGTTACTTTTTTGTACTTGAATTAAATTATGCAAATCTGGACTTTACCAGATGTTATACTTGTCCCAGAGGAAAAATGACTGATTCCTGCATCACTAGATAGATTTGAAGTAATAGTAGAAAAGGAACTCTAGCATGAAGTTAAAAAACTTGGATTTGAGTTCCATCTTTGAGGACTTAGTCAGAAAGCATTTATTAGGTACTTACTATGAGCTAGGTACTGTGCTAAGTGCTGGGGATTCAAAGAAAGACAAAAGGCCCTTGGCTTCAAGGAGCTTTGAGGAGGCATATATGAAAATAGCTAGACATACACAGAGTACATATATAGTCTATAGATATCTATATATTACAGAGTATATACCGTACACATACATACATATGCACATATGTGTCTATATACATATATATATACTGTATAGAGTATATCTAAAGTTTATATGGAAGATAATCTCAGAATAGAAGACATTAACATCTGGGAATAACAGGAAAGGTCTCCTGAAGAAAGTGGGATTTAAATCTTGAAGGAAGCCAAAAAAAAGTAAGAGATGGAAATGAGGTGGAAAAAGTAATGCAGGCATAGGGGAAAGCCAATGCAAAGGCATGGAGATGGGAGATGAAGTGTCATGTAGGAAGAACAGACAATTAGGTAAGTGTGGTACAAGGAATGGCAGGTAGGACAATGTAGTTAGATCATAAAGTAGAGGGGATGTGTGGAAGAGGGCAGCAAAGAAGACTGGAAAGGCAGGAAGGAACCAGGTTGTGAAGAGTTTTAAATACCAAACAGAAGACTTTATATTAGGGTATCCCCAAATTTGTAGTGCAGTTTTAGCCAATGATAGCTTAAAGTTGCCCCAAGACTTTTAGGACATCTGTATTTGATGCTGATGGCAATAGAGACTTACTAGAATGTAAAAACTGGCAGGAGGGGAAGGGAGTTGACATGGTCAGACCTTCACTTTAAGAAAATCAGTCTGGCAGCTGAGAAGAGGATATGACCCTGAACAGAGCAGTTTCCATATCTGTAAAATAGGGATAATAGGATATTGGACTGTATCTCACAAGGCAGTTGTCAAGTTTAAAGGACATAATATATAGGAAAGTGCTTTGTAAACTATAAAGTGGTATAATTTTTTAATTGTTGTTAAGGAGAATTAATCTTCCAACAGGTAACCTGATCTAAAAAGCTGAAGGAGTAGAACTCAATTTAAAAAATCCCAACCTCATTAGCCTTTTCACACAGAATAGCCCTTCACTAACAACCTTCTTCATAGCCTTTCCCACAACCCCCCCTTCACAGCCAAATAATGACTGCTAGATACTATGAGATCTCTGCTTTTAGATTGAGACCTTGTCCTGGCAGTTGGGTAGAAAACAGCACCCTCTACTTGGTTGCACCTTTGTAATCCTCAGAGGCTGATAGTCTAAGAGGAAAAGAAAATTGTCAGTAACTAAATACATGATATAACCTGTCTGTTTCCCTGGCTGTTCACTTATGCATAGTGAAACTCACAGCCTTTAAACAGGCTCTTCTAGAAGCTCCTCTGGTGCAGCCTTCCTTCCTTCCTCTCCTTTCTTTTTTTCTTTCTATCAGAGGTTCCTTCTGCTTTCTGTTCAGCTCCCTTATTCAGTAGCATACATTGCAAAACTCTTGACTGCAATACAGCTAGAGTTATGAAGAATGAGTGTGCTGGGGATTTCCGCCTCTGAATCTAGCTCTGTGTCAGAGAGGCCAAGGCAAAACTGAAGACAAAGGTAGGAGTATTGCCATTAAGTAGGACTCTAGACCCCACCCCCCTTCCCCCCCTCCCTCTCTCTCTCTCTCTCTCTCTCTCTCTCTCTCTCTCTCTCACACACACACACACACACACACACACACACACCCCACACTTGGCTGAATTCTTTATGTTCTGAAGGAATCAGTCTAGTAAAGGCTGTTTGCAAGAAACATTTTTCCTGGAGTAAGAAATCACAATTTATGTGTCCTGTTATACAGTTCTAGGATAGGAAGGGGGCCTTTGCTTTGTACTTACACTCATGTCTACATAGCTGTCAAGAGAACCCTGAGGGTCTTCCCTCCTAATTTGATTTTTTTGGGACTAGGTTAAAGAGGTCATTCTCTGCTTCATTTCTTACCTAGCCTTAATCACTGAATGGGCTTTGCCTCAGTCAAACTGAGATCTGCTAAAGACCTTAGCCTTAAAAGACCAAGGTCTTCTATTGCATCTGGGGCCATCTCCAGTCATCCTGATCTGGCCACTGGACTCAGATGGCTCCCGAGGAGAAAGTGAGACTGGCGACTTTTTATAGCTGTCCCTCACTTAAATCCAATTCACTTGCGTGTCATGGCATCATCTCCCTGATGTCTGGGTCATCTTCGAGCATGAAGGACAAACAACAGCAACAGCAACATAGCCGTCACTTGTGTAAATGGTTCCTATGTTTTGTTTAACGTTCCTTTTTGTATATTTTTAATTGCATCGGATTCCGTTCAGATCATTAGCTCCCTGATACCAAATAAGGTATTTCCTTCACACTATCAAGTAATGCCCTGTGGTGACTTTATAATTGCTTACAGTATAAAAGCTCCACTAGCCTTTGTGCTCCACCTCATCATGACCTTCTGCCTCTCTTATTGGAAAGTGAGGTCATGAACTCCAAACCTCCATTTAAGGAGAGAGCTCAACTCAGACATTTCCTCATCTCTCACCTGTCTGCACTACTTTGAGACTTCTCCATGCCCCACCATTGGATACTTTCTCCTCCCCTTCTGCTTCTGCTTTTCCGCTTTTGTGTTTTACCTCTCCTGTCCCTTAGATTGTAAGCTCCTTGGGGGCAGGGACTGTCTTTCCTTTTTTATGGGTATCCCTAACACTTAGCACAGTGCCTGGCACATAGTAGGTACTTAGTAAATGTTTATTGACTATAGTATTTAATAGAAAAGGGAACTCATTCAGTATTGAGGGATGGAGTCATTTAGGCTAGCCCTCCACTTCTAGAGAGTAAAGTAAACCCAATTACTGACTGTATACATCTTCCTTTAGAGATCTTCAGAGATCAGTTAGCCCAGAGAGACATGGGGAGAGGTCTCATTTTAAAAATGTAGCTGTGATGCAAGATGTCAGTGTCATGGTTCTAGGATCCAAAATCTTTTCACTGTTCCCTGAACAGATCCTGATGAAATGTAGGGTGTTGGAAAGAAAGTCAAGAGACTAATCTAGTCTTGTATTTTTTTCAAACTGACATTTGTTGTGAGTTAAGTGCTATCATTAATATTTTCCTCATTTTACAGATGAGGAAACCAAAGACAAGAAGCAGTAAGTGGCATTTCTAGGATCATAAAGCTAATAAGTAGCTAAGACATTTGGGAACAGGGAGAGGGGAGAGGGAGGCAGAGAGCTCGGGTACTGGTAAGAAGAATAAATATGAAGATCTTGCTGACGTCAAGTCCAGTCCTGTTGCCACTGTATCTTCTAGTGTTTGTCTTTGGATGCGACCTTCGGCAAGTCCCTTGTAGCCCATGCTAGGCCTCTAGTTCCCAATGTGTAAAATGAGTTTGGACTAAGTAACCTCTGAAATCCCTGCCAACTTTCAAACTCTGGTTCTAGCAATAGGTAACGTTTCCCCTTTTTCAGTCCACCCCCTGCCCCACCCCAATCTCTACTCCACAGATTCCCCTGGATCCAACATGGCCCACTTCAAAGGTGATTGCTTTCCTTAGTTTTCCTAGCACAGTCTTTCCTGCTTTCTTACTGTGAAGGGGGAAATAAGAGAGGGATGCTTCACATCTAAGCAGAGCAGGCTGGTGCCTCCCCCATCTTACACAGACGCCTTCCTTTAATGGTGACATGAGCCTGGGTAATCAGAGCCAGCTCACGTAAGAACAGAGCCACTCTCCAACAACACTTCCCAAGTGAGGTGTTTCAAGTACCAATTTTGTGTTCTTGTACTTCAAATTCCGCCATCCTCCCAGAGTCCAATCACTAGGATGACAACAAGCGGTCTTGATATGCTGGGTTAAAACCCTTTCAATGGGGTTTTGTTTATGGCATCAATTATCATGGATTTCCAAACCAGATTCCCTTTCTACTAGCATATTCACCTGGAGAGGCTTCATCAGGCACTAACTGTTCTGACAGTCACATTTTGGTACAACTGGTAGGCCACACAAATAAAGCGGGGGGGGACAACATGTTCAGAGTGTAAGGGATGAAAGAATGTTGAGACAACTCAGCTTCCCCTGTCTTTGGAATTTCCCCAATCTGGAATGTTTTATTTGGAGGCTGTTACTTTGCAGCGCGTTGTGAATGGAAATCATTATCCGTGAACATTTGAAGAGATATATCTGATTTTCATAACTTTCAGGCCTGCAAGGATGCCTGGTAAACTGCTCTATGCATGTGGAGGGACGGCTCAGGCTTTTCATCAGATTAGATCCCACCGACATTAGAAAAATAGCTCTCTGGTGACTCTGCAAAGGCAAATGTCAGTGAATTACATCCTGAGGTGTGAGAGGGGGAGGCAGGCAAGGAAGGAGGGAAAGAGTAAGATAGAAAGGCAGAAGAGAGAGGGAAGAGGAGAGAGGAGAGGAAAAGAAGAAACTGTTCTTGATAGAAGAAATTACTTTTCATTCAAAAGCTTAGGGACCATATTTTTTAAAAATGACTCCACACATTTGCTAGAAGGAAGTAGTATTATTTTTAATGAACTTTGGGAGTGATTGTAAAGTGGTAGAAAAAGTGAGGCAGGAGGCTTGGGCCCTGCAGGCCCTCTTTGAGATTCATACAGAAAAGAAGGAGATAGGACTAGGTCTAAGGTCTTTCCAGCCCTGATATTTCATAATTTCATGCCGACACTGACATTTATAAAGATCACCTCCTTTTCTGGTTTCTGTGTAAGGAGAATATCATGTTCTCACGAATCCACTAACATGCTAATGCTAGGCCTGTTCTTCCTTCACAGGGTGTTTTTTCTGAATGTACCGTATGATTCTGTCATTGAACGGTTAACTCTAAGAAGAACAGATCCAGCCACAGGAGAAAGGTCAGTTCTCTCTCTGTCTCTTTGTCTCTTTCTCTCTCTCTCTCTGTCTCTCTCTCTTTCTCCCCTTCCTCCCACTCTCTCCTTCTCTGTCTCCTTCTCCCACTTTACCCCCCTTCATTAATCTGAATTCCAAAGAAAGGAAAATAGGTTTGATTTGACGAAGTCTCAGTCAAATTATCCTAGTGAAAATCCTGTTGAATGCTGATGGCTGACTTAAACAAGTGAATTCACCAGACCAGCTGCCTTGGATCTATCTGAATTTTATTGGCCTTCTTTGACTGAAGCTAGATTGGGGCACAGAAAAGGTAATTAACTTGCCTAAAATCACACAGTAAATCAATGGCAGCTCTAGGGCTATAAATTCCATTCCAGGTAGCAATATTCTTCCCCTGTTTTCCTCATTATTGTGAAATGGGGATACTGGAATGAAATTAAGAACTGGGAAAAATGCTGCTTTCCATTTGGACTTTATTCTTCCAGTGATTAGTAACATCTGTAGCTGTGTGGAGGAAAACTCCTCTTCTAGAGTGAAGGAGAGTAGCTTTGAACCTTTATTTCCATGCTTATCAGGAGCTACAGGTTGAATTGTCTCCTGCCTTCTTATTTCATAAGGTCCCTCATATGATTTTCATTTTTAAGGTGACTCATATTCCTTCAATAAAGTACTGGGCTGTCTGCCTTCTCTGACAGCCAAAGACACATTTCCTTGTTTAGAGACTCAAGGAAGAGAGGACGGGTTCTATAGTTGGCCTTACAAGAAACAGCTTGGCATCCTCTTCCTCTTTGGAAATGAATGCTTTAGCTCCAACCAGAAGGTAGACAGACCATCTGGAGAGACTGGTCCCACCAGCAACTTAATTTATATATCCAGATCCAGATCCCAGATCCCAGCCACCTTCCCCTTCCCTGAGCTCCTCAGCCCACCATGTTTTCTCTCTCTCTCTGGAATTTCTACAACACTATACAAGTTACCACTTGTATTGTCACTTATCTTTTTTATATTCATGGCCTGTTTCCTCACCTTGATGATCATAAGCTACATAAGGGCAGGAAGCAATGTCTTAGTCCTTGTGACTACAGGGCCTAGCACCAGCTCTGTATGTAGTAAGTAAATGTTTGGTGCTGCTGATGAGGATGGTTTGGGGTCCTCTAGAAGCCCATATACTGCTTTTAGTTCAGTATGCATTAAGAATATGGACCAAATCTCCCAGTGCCCCCAGAAATAATAAATTCTCTGCTTTCTTGTGCCATATTCTTGCTCTTTTGTAGATATCACCTCATGTACAAGCCACCTCCAACCATGCAGATCCAGGAGCGTCTCATGCAGCACCCAGAGGATACAGAGGAGAAAGTGAAGCTCAAAATAGATGCGTTCTATAGAAATTCTTCTTTGCTGGAAGACTTCTTTAATGATGTCATTTATGTCAATGGGGATCAAGATCCTTACACTGTCTTTGAATACATAGAGAGTGGGATCATTTTGCCTTTGCCCACTAAAGTCACATTATAAGCAGAAAACCCACTGGGTTTTACTTTTATGTAGTAACATCCAACAAGAATATGTATTAATTTCCCTGAGTATTTTAGAGCCATGGCAAATTAAATAAATAGTGCATATTATCACTCCTTTGCAGAATAAAATGATCGGAAATGCTCTTGTTTAGGGGACCTGAGAAGAAATAGAAAGGGAAGACAAGTGTATGGGGATGTCTTGATTTTCCTAAGAACTTAGTAGGCAGAAAAAAAAAACACCTTACTGTGGGACATACTATCTTTCATATTAAATGCTAATGGACCTGTGATTTCATTGATATTGACCTGTGATATTCTCCCTCCCTCAAAGAAAGCCACCCATTCATGCCTTAATACATGATCTTCTTCAGTTCCTGTAGCTTACAAAATGTAACATCCTGTGACTAACCTGGTAAGGAACTGCTCTAAATTTAACTGGATTGGTCTTTGTATCAAAATCCATGATCAGGCCCATACTCAAGACTTTTCTAACTTAGTAGATCCTACCAGATGCTATACTTCACCTCAGAACCTTTGAGAACCCAGGATGACCTCCCTCCTCTGATGAGATGCCATGAGAGGACTTGGAAGGCTGCATAGCCTAGTGGAAAAAGCCAAGATTTGTAATCAGAGGACCTAGATTCAAATCCAGACTCTGACATTTACCATCTTTGTGACCTTGTGCAAGTCATTTAACCTCGATGAGCCTCAGTTTCCTCATCCAGGTGATCTCTAAGGTCAATTGAAGCTATTTCATCTTATAATCAAATTATAGCTTGTGTCAAATGAGATAATATGAGTAAAGTGCTATATATTTTTATTATTATTATTTAATTTCCTTCCCATAACAGCTTTATGAGGTAGGTAGGATATGTATTAGTATACTGACTTGACAGGTAAAAAAATTGAAGTTATAGAGGAAGGAAGCAACTTGCCCAAGGTGATATAATTAGTGACTGGTTTCCAAACTGTTATCTAGGTACATCCAGATACAATGATGTCTCCATCTAAAACCAGACTAGAGAGCGTACGTGTCCTTTACTCTGACACTTGAACAATCCAGTGTCCTAGAGGGCCAAGGAGTTTCTGGTCCTATAACTCTAAAGTTTCAGGTCCTGGATTCCCTTACCCAATTAGATGTGCAGAGCCTTTCCAAAGAGGACCTAAGCCCCTAGATGGGCCTTGGAGCCACAGAAGCCCAGCATTGTTGGGCACCTGAAAGATCAGCCCCCAGCACAGTTATTAGTAAGCCTTCTACCTACCTCCTACCTCACAGTACAGTTGTAAAGGTCCCAGGCTCATAGATCCAGAGTTGGAAGAGAAAGTGGTTTGTAAACTTGGAAGAATTTTAAGAATGTAAGCTATCATGTTTATTATTTTGGGGCGCAGTGGATAGAGTACTGAGCTTAGAATCAGGGAGATTCATCTTCATGAGTTCAAATCTGGCCTCAGACTCTTACCAGCTGTGTGACCCTGGACAAGTCACTTTACCCTGTTTTGCCTCAGTTTCCTCATCTATAATAACAGCTGAAGAAGGAAGTAGCAAATCACCCCAGTATCTTTGCCAAGAAAACCCCAAATGAGGTCACAAGGAGTCAGACATGACTGAAAACAACTGAACAACAACAAAAGGCTATTCTGTTTTTTATTATCAGTATAGAAGATACAAGCTTCCAGATGTATGCTGGCATGCCCTCCTTGTTTATGTAAGTCTCAGTGCCAGGTTTCCAGACCCAGCTGAGACAGAAGCACCCCAGGTTCTACTCTCCCCACAAAAACCTCTTGCCTTCCCCACTAGGGAGACAAATCCCACACTGGGCTGTGGATTTTCTTACCATTTTTCATAACAGGGATCATAGGCACACTCTCAGGAGAGCCCACCTTACTGCAGGCAGCCCCTTGTCTTGTGTCAGCTTCAGTTGACAATCCCTGCCCCTACAGTGCCTCTTCTATTACCTCACACAGGCTTCTTTCTGACCCTAATCTGCCCAGCCTTCTCACCGCCGCAGCCCAGTGAAACTCTGTACAAACCGATTTGGCACTGAGAGTTCTGTCCACAGAACCCTCATTTAGCAAGAGAGTGAGGCCAACTATACCCCCTCTCTCCATTTAGTGTGTGGATTTTCTGATTTGTTGATGATTCACCTAATGTTTAAACTCAGGCTGATGGCCTACCTCCCCACAATGTACTCAAAATCTTTTGAAAAAACCAATCATCATTAGGGGACATAAATTCCTTGTGCATAGGGACCACTTTGTTTTTTCTTTATATCCCTAGCAATTACCACAGTGCCTGTTGAAGAGCTCAATAAACATTCATTGATTGATTGAAATAAATCTTTAACAAAAAAAAAATCGTATTACACCCCAAAATAGAATGCTCAAAACTTTTTTAGATTATATATTGTTTCAAACTGTCTGGGCCACAATTCCTGCCCATTTATGCAGATAATCAAGAATATAAGAGGAGGATGAAGAATTTATTAAGTACCTACTATGTGCCAGGCATTGTGCTAAACACTTTATACATGTTTGATCCTCACAACTCTGTGAGGTAGGTACTATTATTATCCCCATTTAACATTTGAGTAAACTGAGTCAGAGGCTGAGTGACTTACCTAAGGTAACACAGCTAGTAAGTATCTGAGGCTGGACTTGAGAGCCCAGGGATCTATTCCCTGTGCCACCTACCTGCCTCTATTTGCTATATTTGATTATATGAACATTTACCTTCCCTATCTATTAGTGAAGCCTTTTATCGTCTGGATATCCTAGGGAGTTTTGTCCATTCCAGAAGCCTGCCTTTCTGGTGATGAGCTGGTCAGGTGATGGCCAAAAACAGGTTCATAGGGAGGACTAATGGCTAAAGGGCTGAGAATCACTTAATGTCAGGGCTGGAAGGGAATTAGAGGTCATCTCATTGAACTTCCCTCATTTCACAGAGAAGGGCAGAAGAGCTTCTTGTTCAGGATCACTCAGCTAGTCAGTGATAGAGCTGACTTGAACTGAGGAATACCAGACCAAGTCTGGCACTCTCTCTGCCATTCCCTAACTGCAGAGGGGTCCCCGCACATTACTCATTAGGCAAGGGTATCTCTTTAACACACTTAGCTATAAACATCTTCTCTCAACAATCCCCACCTCCCAATCCCACCCCTCAAGTCCCGTTCCTGCTCTGTTCTTTTCATCTGCATGCAGCCTTGATATTAGTTCCGCTTCGTTGGTTCCATAGAAACTGGGGAAAGAGAGTGAAAAGACTGGCTCATTGAGATGCATTTGGCATGGGTGTGTATGGAATCTCAGGTCAATGGTCATCCCCCACGGGTTTGTCGGGGGCCTGAAGTGCAGACCATCAGGGTTAGCAGAACATGCTAATACTCATGTAGAATGCTCCCTCAGAAACAACTAAAACAATTGACATTCATTTAATTACTGCAAACGAATCAGCCCCTCACAGCACTTTGCATAGTAAAGCCGCCTAATACCGACCAGCTCCTGAGATGGAAGAAAGAATTAGGTTCTTATAATTGGATCCCTCTGCTTCCAACCCAATTTGGAAGACTTACTGGATTTTATTAGCATCCATTTCTGGGCAAAGTGCTGGGGAAGTGACCATCTCTTTACAGATGAAAGGGAACTGAAGACCCAGGGAACTTACTGGTTTAGAGACACTAACAGTCATGATCAAAAGTCTAAAATTTGGCTAAATTGGCTAAATTCTAGATTAGTTGGCTATGGTTAAAATTCACAAGAGGTTTGATTAGCAGTAAATTTTATTATTAAACATTCAACCTCACTTTAGTTCAGGCCATCATTACCTTTCACCTGAACTATTGCAACTCCAAATGATCTTTCAAATTTCTCTCCTCTCCAATCATTTTTTATAGCTACCATAGCAATTTTCCTAAAGTAAAGGTCTGACCATGTCACTCTACTACTCAATAAGAGGGCCATCTCCAGTTGTCCTGATCCATATCTTGCCACTGGACCCAGATGGCTCCAGAGGATAGAGCGAAGCTGGTGACTTTGCATAGCCCTTCCTCACTTAATCCAATTCACTTTCAAGTCATGGCATCAATTTCCTGATGTTGTGGTTCTCTTTGAGAACAAAGGACAAACAACAATCTGTGAGTAGTAGTAGCTGTCCCATTGGGGACCCAACTGACCAGTTCCAGTTGGGCAACCCAGCTCCTTCCTTCTTCCCTTTCTTCCTCCCTTCCTCCTCTCCTCTTCCCTTTTATCCTTCCTTTCTTCCTTCCTTCTTGCTGTCCTTCCTTCCTTCCTTCTCTCCCTTCACTCCCTCCCTTCCTTCTCTCCCTTCACTCCCCCTCTCCTCTCCCTCTGTCTCCATAGAGAATCATTCCGTTACCTTTGGGTGCTCTGCCTGAAGGAATAGAATTTTGATCCCTGAAACCTTGCAAGATATCTTGGAGTTTAAGGGCTAGATTTTTTTTTTAAGGACATGCCTTAAACCCAAATCACTCTGACTCTCATTGATTGGCCAACAATAGGTCCCCAGCCCAAACCTCATTGGTCATTGTTTGGGCTGATAGCTCAGAGTGAGTGTAAATAGCAATTGTTTCTGTTTTGACCAGAAACCCTGAGGTTCTTTCCCACCCAGATTGAGTTTGTTTTTTGTTTTGACTAAGTAAAAGAGGTTATTCTTTGCCTCATTTCTTACCTAGCCTTAATCACTGAATGAATATTGCCTCAAGTCAAAATGACCTTAGCTTTAAAAGGCCAAGGTCTCCCACTGCATCCAGGGCCATCTCCAGTTGTCCTGATTTATATCTTGCCACTTGCCAGGTGGCTCTGGAGGAGAAAGTAAGGCTGGCGACTTTGCACAGCTCTTCCTCACTTAACTCCAATTCACTTGCATATCATGGCATCACCTTCCTGATGCCATGGTCCACTTTGAGAACAAAGGACAAACGACTAACAACTACTCAATAAACTCCAGTTGACTCCCTATTACCTCTAGGGTCAAAACCAAACAAATTTGCCTGTCATTTAAAGCCCTTCACAGCTTAGCTCCGAAGTTCCTTTCCAGCCTTATTATACTTTACTCATCTTTGTGCAGGCTATAATCTAGACAAACTGGCCTTGCTATTCTTTTCATGTGACAAGCCCTCTCCTGTCTCTCTGCTTTCCCACAGGCTGTCCCCTATGCCTGGAGTTGTGTTCTGTCTTCACCTCAGCTTTCCTTCAGCCCTTAGCTCAGATGTCACCACCTATGGGAGACCTTTCCTGATCACTCTAGCTCTTGCTAGTGCCTTCCTCAAAAAATCTT